AAAAGTAGAGAAGCGAGCTCTGTGGAAGACTTACCATGCCCTGCACACTTCCAGAAAGAAGAGGGCATAACACTTAGCACCTCCCTTGCCACATGCACTTTATTTTTAATGTTAATTTTAGGTATACAGCAGAAATGCTGGGTCAAGCCTTCTCGCATGAGATTCCTTTGTATGCTAGTAAAGCCCAGGCTGAGATTATTTACCAAGGTGCTCATCTTCCAACACCAAGGTTCTCTCTGCCACCTTCCTGTCCATCCCTAAACCTCAGTGAAATTCTCCTGGAACTCTTCAGTCTTAAGCTTTGTGCACAGTGGAGCTCACAGACATGTTTTTAAATTAGGCCCAGCTGTAGATCTGGCTACTCTCTCTTGCAATTTAGCAATATTAAAGGAATCCCATGACATTTCATTCCATATGCCATTTCACTATTTCAGTGACACGCTAGTCTTTTCAACCCTAGCTAATCTCCACTCCTATAAAGATTCTGTGGGTTTTTCATTTCCATCCACTCAAATGAACCGATTCATGTCTTAATCTGCTGTTTTGTGGATAACTGGCAAATTCTATTGATCTCACAAATTATCTCATTATGTTTGAAATTCTAAAATTCTTGAAAGGCTCCCAGTGAAGCTGAGAGCAAGGAAACCATGTGGGCTTGGTAGCTTATCCTACAATAATGAATCAGCTTCTCAATGAGACTTTAGAAGTTGATTCTAATTCATTATTTTCAGATGATGTTTTTACAATCCATTAACAGCCTCTGTTACTGGACAATTCATGTTGACCAGAGACATATCACACACTCAGGATGTGCTGCCTTCAACCTCCCCCAGCCCAGGGCCACCCCAGCAGACCCAGCCCGGCCTGTCTGACCTCGTTTTTTAGGCTCCTGGCCAGGAAGTGCTCTGCCACATGTGCCGGAAGCACATTCTCCAGCAGCACGCGGTTCAGGTTCTCCATTGTTTCTATCTCCTCCCGCTCTTTTTTGAACTTGTTCTTCCATAAGAAGTCTAACCTACAGTAATATTCATTCTGTTACAAGAGGACACAGAGGTAAAGACACAATAGGCATCTTGTCCTGCCAGAGAGTGGAGGTTTTTAAAGAGAAAATAAAAAGAACAAAACAAAACCATACACAGAATCCCCAAACAGAACTGTCCCCCTTCCTACAAAGCCCTCTATCCCCAAATGTTTTCCAATCAACCTTTGGTATGAATTTGCTAAGGAACGGAGCAGGCTTGACAGTGGGGAACTAGCAGTATTGGAGATTTACAAGTCAAAATGACAACAGAGCTTCTCCCACAGCTATGTTAATAAATTGTAGCTTGGATAATTTTGGAAAAAAGAAGCGATAGAAGATGAATGGTGAGTAAAAGAAAAATGAGAGCTACTGAGTACAAAGCATGCAGTGTTTGATAATTTGTATTAAAATAGCATTTCTTAGTAATAGTTTGCATTCAGTATTTGTAAATCCATTTTTCCTCATCACAAATTAAGTGATTGAGTATTCACTGTAAAATATGGATTTTTTTTGTCAGTTTTGATTGCACTGTAAATAGAGAATGTCATTATATGAAGATAAAAATACATGTTGATATCATTTAATTAAGATAGTGCCTGTTAGTGAAAACATACATGTTTCTGCCTTATAATGTATTAAAATGCAATGTATTTCAGAAGGCAGTTATTACTGATACTGTAGAAATGGAGAAGCTCATACATTGACAAAGGTTATTTTTGGACTCGGTGTCATATAGTGTCTTCTATGATGTGAAAAATTTATTATAACATAGCCTTGACGCACTGCTTCCGTCACAGGAGGGCTAGGTAGAGAGGGTGTATTTCAGCACAGATAGTAACTTATGAACAAATAATATAAATGCAAAAAGAGCTACAGGCATGTTTGCATTTGTTTAATTAATTATAACACAGTATTAAATATTATAACACACAAATAGCCTCTAGTACACAAATGGGAATTTTTTAAAATCCACACTTTGAAACCTGAAAGAAAAATGATCATTCAATTATTTTTTATTCAAACTATGTATGATACACTAAAGACATTCCTTCCCTTCTGACCTAGCATTTATTTTTATCTCATGTAGGTAAGAATAGACTATTAAAAAAATATTTTAATTGCTTTCTCACATCTTAAGTTTCACATTAAAGCCAAATTTCCCACCTACTGTATTAATATAAATTGGGCATTTTTATTAGAGAATTATATTTATAAATATATTTATATTTAGAGAATAAATTATTTATTTGGATTTTGGGGACAAAGCAGTGATGTGGCTGGTTTTAACTGAAATGGCAGAAGCAATCAGCAGTGGTAGATCAAGACACGGGCTCATACCCCAAATCAGACATGAGTGAAAGAAGCATAAATGGAAACACATCCCAGGAGCCCATTCAGGCAGCAAGCCCCATGCATGAGAATCTGAAAGGTTCCCATAAATCACTGAGAGAAGATGCTCAGGTTTCCAAGTGGTCACTACTGCATTTTGTTAGTCTCCCATTAGAAGGATATCAGTGTTTTGGAGCCAGTTGCATTGCATAAAAGTGGCATTTTGCTTGCTTATATATCTACCTATCTTTCTCTCTATCCATCCATCCATCTAGCTAACCATCTACTATCATGTATGTATGTGTATATGTGTGTATGTATGTATGTATCTATCTATATTTCTATCTATCTATCTGCACAAGTCTTCTATGGAGTGTGCTGCCACTTGAACTTGGGTGAAACACTCTTTTTCCTTTTTCAAAAGAGGCTCAAAGTTGGCTAGCATTCAGTCATAAACTAAATTCTAGTGTAGCAGTAGTAGTGTAGATTTTGTACAAGAGATGTGTTATGCTTTCTTTAAGGTTACTTAGATACCTAAAGTGATATTTACTATGCTAATTTGCTCAGAAAGCAAACACATTTCTATCATTTTGAAAAAGATGGTCATGGGGCAGAGCAGTGACTGGGATAAAAGCAATGAAAATAAGTTGTGAAATGATGGTATGCCACCACCATTTACTAAACCAATCATGAAATGAAATAACTCCAAGGTCATGAACGCAATGACACTTGAAATCCTCACTGCAGATATGGGCAGTGTTTTTTTCATACTATAAGCTCAGAAAAGTGTGCAGAAGCATCCTATCTTGGATGTGAAAGTTCCCCTTAGCCCAGAAGACTTTGCTTTAAAAGCTTATTCACTTCATGATTTTGTGCTGAAGGTCAGCCTCCTGACCCAGCTTGGCATTTCCTGTGGTGCCTTACACAGACATGGTAATTCATGGCTAGCTGTTGTAGAGTGGTTATGAAAAATGACTACTTCTGCAGGGAGTAATAACTTTTCTAGGTCTCCAGATGTACACATTACTTATTGTTACATTAGTGACATAAAAGAATGACTTCTTATAAGAGTGGTATTACCCAATCGTGATTAAATTAATGCTCAATCTATTATTGACACTTGTGATTATTTTAAATCAATTAGAGAGTTATGGATCAATTGTCAGCCACTGTCCTCAACCACAATTATGTACTGATATTGAATGTTATTCAGCTCAATGACTAATAAAAACTCTGAAGGATTGTAATTAGAATCTACATTCTTAAAATACACTGCTATGGAGCGATCTGAGTGATGATTCCAGCAGGAAAGGCTGTGGAACACAGCACTGCCACCATGACTTGGAGAAACAGTGACCCATACAGGGGTAGCTGTTTGCTGAGGAATCATCACCGGGAGATGTTCTACAAGGAAACATTTAAATTATATATTTTCCCAAGTGAGGACAAGGCTGCTCTAGGAGTGAGAGCAGCAAACTGGTCAATAGTGAGAAACAAAAAAAAAAATAAGCAAGTTGCAGAAGAAACCAGGAAAGTAATGGGAGAAAAAGCACAGTGCGAGGTTGTCAAAACTGCAGGCCAAAGAATGCAGAATGAAGAAATGCTCGGAGGCAGGGGATGGAGAAGGGCTGGCACTGGAAGGAAGGCAATGAAGGCATCTTGCAAAGCTTTGCAGAGGACAGGACAGCTCAGCCCAGGGCACCTGGGGAAGGCTGCACTGCTAGCTTCTAGGGAAGGACACAGCTCACACTGCAAGGAGGATGTGAAAGCACAGTTCCATAAGTGGGACTGTCAGCCACAGGCTCTCACTCTGCCTGAATGTGCAACTGCTAGCCTCTCCCTAGCAGGGAGAGCTGGAAGCCAGGCCTAAACACATGAGTCTGTAGTGTGACTGTCACATACTTGTCAGGGATTTAATATAACTGTTTAATAATGTGCATATAGTTTAATAATCATTTTCTCTTAATTGATTGTTTCCAAACACATCTGTCTTTGTTCTGCAGTGCCCATAACATAGAACTTAACACAGGTTGGTTGGGGCACAGCTGCCTGGCTTTGGATGAGTCTGGGAGTTTGTGAGTGATCAACTTTGTGCACAGGCAGAAGAGGAGTTCTTAAAATCTTGCATCCATAGACTTTCTTGGGAGACCAGGAAAAGTGAAGGTGGTGGCCCAAGGAAAGAGAAACTGTTTCATCCACATTGCAAAATAAAAATTTTGAGTAAAAGGTCATATTTCTAGGAGTGGCTGCAAATGGCAGCAAAATTATTATACCATTTGCACTTCCAGCAAAGGAAGCATGCCATCCATTGTGAAATACAAAGGAAACCCCATCAAGAGGCATTTTCCCAAACAGTGTTAGCTGACTGGAACTATGGGGACACTTTGTAGGCCTATGAAACCTACAAAATTTGAGTTTTAACAGCTGATTCCTATCTCTGATATTCAAAAAGTCTGCCTCTTGTGGAAAAAATGTCTCTTTTTCTTCTTTCTATATCCAACCTACACCTGTGCTGTCAACTTTTCTCTTAAATGAGAAGATGATTCTGATTCTTAAGCATTTGTTTGGCTAAAAGTAACTACAGTGAGCGTCAATGAAGTGTTATTAATCAGCCTCATAGGAGATGTTACATAAAGAACACATTTCTTACCTGTCTACCCAGAACCAGTAGTGTGATGAAAAAAATAGAGAGTGACACAGAGCCCATGGTCTTCAGGTCTTTCCAAATGCCTGGTCTATTAAAAAAAAAAAAACAGACAGACAGGAAGACAACACAACAAAATAACATGCACACAGGACTTAGAATTCAAGTAGTGACAAACTTCAGATTCTCCAGTTTGTCTAGATTGCACCCCAGCCAAATATACATTTCATAAATTGCATAAAATGAAACAAAATAATCACACTTTTGACAGCACAATGAAATAGAAATACTTCCAAATTACTACAGACTTCTTACTTTATATCAAGCAAGCTCTAACAAATATAAAAGGAAGGACTAGCAGAATATGAATCCCATTTTCTTTATACTTTTGGGATCAATGTGGATAATTGGATATATGGTTTCCTCAATGTTTTCATTATTGCTCTCAGATATTATTAAGGCTTGAAATTATTTATCACATGGGGTATTAAAATGAAGTAAGGAACTTAATTTCTACAAGTCACTCCCACTTGTAGAGGACACAGCTTCATGTAGCTTTTTGGCTTTATTACTCTTTTTCATATGATTTCATATCACAGAGATGGGAAGCCCACACACTGGCCACTTTCCCTCAGGTCCAGGTAAGAATCAGTAATTCTTGCCTGCTGTGCTGGGCAGGGCCCTCTCTTCTTACTACAAAAGTCCAGGCTGTGACTTCCAACACATCAGTGAGGCTGCAAAGGGGACATCTACTGCTATTTCTGGATGAGTCCTGCACATGCTGACAAATGATAATTTCCCACATATAAGTGAGAAAGCTCAAAAGATCGAAGTTCATTTGCATGGACACCCTGTCACATAAGCAGCACAGAGTATGTTTAATCAAGTCCAGGTGTCAGGCAGTCATTTTCTACTGTGTTATCCTTATTTTTTGACTTTCTAGTTTCCCTAGAGTTCAAGGGTGGATTAGATAGCAAGAGAATTTGGTGTAACCCTGGTGAGTATTGAAGTCAGAAGGCCTGAGTTTTTGTCCAGAGTGGTGGGACCTTGGATAAAGTTCTGCAAACCTCACTCCTCTCATCTGTCAAAGGGGGCAGGGATACCCATCCTATGGGCTGCTCCGGACACTATATTGTGTTTTTATATGCCTAGCACAGAGTCTGATACATAGGAAGCTCTTCATAAATGCCACTCGTGATTTTAGTATTAACCAAAACATGGCAAAAGAAAGGGATGTGCTAGGAAACTAGAGAAAGATGTGGTGATTCATGTTAGTAAATTTCACTGACAGAATGAAACATCCAAGTACAAAGGAAGGGTGCATTCCTACAAATTAGCAGACACTATACTCAGTCCCAGTGGCTGAAGGGGTTGGGAGCTCAGGATCTCTCCAGAAAGGCTGTATATACATTAGGCCTTTTTTTTTTTTACTACCATACCTACTGTGGCTTAGAAGAGTCTTAGCTAATCAGCCATGAGGTGGTATCCATTTCTTTGAGGGTGACATGAACAGAGTAATGCCACATTCTTGTTTCACTAGGACCAGTTGTATGAAGTGGAGTTGTTCCTCTCAGCTCAGGGCAGCTGTGTCCAATGACACAGCTGAAATGACAGAGGGGAGCAGATGCCTAAAAATAATGCTGACATGAATGAATTTTAAATTCTTTTCCTTTCTGCATTGACCACACAGATATTATGATGACTGCTTGGTGAGAGTAGCACAACATAGCCATTGTCTTGGGAACTGGTGCAGGCTGAGCTCTTCATGTTCATGCCCCTTCACAAGCATCACCTTACTTTATAATTCCAGGGGGCCAGAGACAGAAGCTATGACATCTCCTTCCTCATCCACTGCCCTGCAAGCCTTAAGTTAAGATTAAAGTGCTAACGCCCAGGTCAGGAGTTTGCAGCAGCTTCATCATTGCAACAAATCAGAACTGTGCTCCATTGCATTCCCAGGTAAAAGACCTGGTGCCCCAAGCACACAGAGGCAGTCAGTCAGAGGCAGGGTCCTCTTACACAATTCATGACTTAGCTAGGTTTCTAGTTAACATATAGCAAATGCACATACAGTCCACTGGAGACTCTCCACATTAACTCACTGGAATTTTGGTGTGAGTGGGGGAAACAACCCATTCCATCTGTCTCCCCCATCAGGCACCTTACTTAAAATAGTGGTGGGCAGTAGGACATGGAAGAAGCAGACAAGGGAAGGCTCTCCTTTCTGGTCTGGAGAGAGAATTAGAGAGTCCAGACTTAAATAGACTTCAGAAATAGCAAGGCACAAACAGCCTACAGAACACAGTGTAAGTTTATATATAGATGTCTTTTTGTCTTCTGAAATTCCTTGTCCATTTGCTTTCTTAGATTTTCTCAGGTTTTTCAAAAACATCTTTGATTTAGTTAGCAAAAAGAGCTGCCAACCCTAACCGGTCACCTTCACTCCCACAAGAACACTTATGAGTCAATGAGGTTAGAACTCTTTGCAGTTTGAATAACTAATTCTCCACCTGAAGTTTCCTTCCTGGGTTAACGTGCTGGTTTTGTATGTGGGGGGGGGTGCAGGAGAGGTGGGAGGAAGAGGAGGTGTAAAGTGGAGGGAGAACCAGGAGTTGATCGAATATGATCCCAAATATTTTCTGGGCAGAGTCTTGTATTGGTCACTGTATTAATTTTCTATGACTGCTGCAACAAAGGTACCACAAAGTGAGTGGCTTAAACAACAGAACTTTATTGTTTGTTGTTTTAGAGGCGGAAAGTCTGAAATCTAGGTGCCATCAGAGCTATACTCCTGAAACCTGGAGGAAATCCTTCTTTGCCTCATTCTAGCTTCCAGTGGCTGGCTGGCGATCTTTGGTGTTCCTTGGCTTTCGGCTGCATCACTCTAGTTTCTGCCTTCATCACCACATGGTGATTTTCCTGAGTGTCTCCCTCTTTACTTGGACATCTTCTTATAAGGACACCAGTCATCTGCAACTATCTTTGTTTCAGATTAGATCACATTGTGAGGAACTATGGATTAAAACTTCAACATACCTTCTTTTGGAGGACATAATTCAACCTATCAATTAGGTTTTCCACTTACATAAAAATGATAGCTAGTTGGATACTGGCTGGAGAGAGCTAGTCTCTCTCTCTCTTTCTCTCTCTCTGCCCCCTCCTCATGCCACATGGGAAGGGTGAACTCCACTTTGGACTGTCCTATGTTAGCGTGGAGCTCTCACTAAGTTGTAAAGGGGAGATACAGGTAATACAGCAGGGGGGAGTTGCTAAACCTACGATTTCTGACAATGTAGTTGAAATGAGATGGAAACTGCTTCCTTTTGACCCAAAAGTGAGACTCTGGGGACTTAGGCCCCCAAACATCCCTGTAGTCACACACTAATTTGCAGCTGGTTCTTTTCCTGAGACTGTTAATGACCATAAAGTTTCAGGAGTCCCAAAGAGCAAAATATCCTACTAAATAGGGTGAGAGATATGGACAAATTACTTGGTGAAAGAGTTGATATCCTAGCTGCAAATGGTTCAGGTGATGTAAACAGGGCATTTTCAACATCTTCAAGAGAGAAGCTGTTGAGGCATAATCTTACTTTTAAAACTTCACATTTTCCTAGGTGAAGAGAACTATTTTTGCTAAGAAGAAAGCTACCTAAGAAGCCTAGTTTCTGTTGTTTTGTGAGCACATTGAGATAAAATCATATACTCTCAGGTCACTGATAGGAATAAAAATTAGTCTCACATCTGGAGTCCTGAACTTGAGCCCACAACTCATAAAGAAGAGGCCAGGGAGCTGGGGATGTGGTTCAGTAATGGAGTGTTTGCCTAGCATGTGCAAGGACCTAGATTCGATGCCCAGTACTGAAAAAAAGAGCTAGAAAAAGACAAAAAGAGGCCAGCAAAGCCATGATGCCCTGCCTACCACCCACCTGCATATCCTCCAGAGTCTCAAGCTGACTTATCTTTTGGTTTTCTTGCTATCTCTGTGCTACAGCATTAAGTTAGGAAATGGCTGCCTTTACCCACAAGAGACCCTTGGGTCATTAGGAAGCTGTGATGTCAAATGATGAACAAAGTGAAAGTTTTGCCCAACTCCATGTTTTAAGGATGGATCTGTTCGCTACAGCATACTCAGCACAGGCTGCCAAGTAGATTTACAGGGTCAGAAGGCAACAACTGGAATAAAACAAGTATCCTAGAAAACAGATTTTGGGGTTAAAATGAACAAAGGCAAAATAAAAACCCCGTGCCTCATCAGTGCATCTTTCTTTCAGCTTGGCTTGGTAAGGGGCAGGGAACTGTTCAGAGTCCCTCAGCAGTATATCTCTGTGTTCCTCCTGCTGTCTTGACAGAAGTAGCCACAGGCTCTTTACTCCTGTGGGTCTCACCTCTGCTTCCCAACCTCAGCTGACCCATTGATGACTGGTGATGTGACATGAGGACAACTTCGCCAAGCTTCCTCCATTCCACACAAGAGTGCTAAGTAAATCACATTGTAAAAACAACTGAATGAAGGGTCAAAGAGCCTTGATAGTTTGGGAATTCCCCTACACCACCCTGAGTTTCTAGACACTCTTTCCTCTCCTGGTTGAACACAGATTTACCAAAATCCTGAGTAAACTTTCAGAGAAGATGGCCTGATGTCATACTGGGACACAGTGATCTCCCATGAGGCTAAACTCTCATTCCTTTTCAGAGTGGTACTTACAAATGCAAGCAGAATACTTCATTGCCAGAGACTGACCAACATAATAAGAGACAGACTCAAGCTTAGAAAAGAGCCCTGGAGGTAGCCGCACAGCAGGAGGGATGATGAGCTGGGCTGGAGAGCCGTGCTGGCCCTTAACTATGGAGATAATAATGCACCCTGATTAATGCAGTTGTGTGTGCAGAAGAGTGATTTTTGAAGAGGAAGCAATTCTACATAATGTGATCTGATGCTGTGGGGCCATGCACACATTTAACAGAGGAGATGGTTAGAAGCCATGTGTTCTATATGGTTCATGAGCACAGGCTCTGTATAATTCTGCCCCACTCCCTTTCTTAAATCAAATAAAACAAAACAAGCTTAAGAATAGAATATCTTCCCACAGATGTTTCCAAACCACAAGACATTCTATTTCAGGTGGAAAAGTATTAGATTACTGATGGCTACTTTCTATAGAAGGAAAGAAAGCATGATAAAAATTTGAATAGCCCTAGGTCCACGTGCTTTATAGTTAAAGGTAGGCAGCTGGGATTTTCTCTCTCTTCATTGTCTTGCTGGCCACTATCAGGCACAGAGAAATAGGTATTCCTTATTTTTGGAAGATGGAAAGTGAATAGGCAAGGTTGGGGAAATTGACATATTAAATTTAAAAGTAATTCAAGTCTTTTTAATATTAATTCCAATATACTATGGGATAATGCAAATTTGGAATACATTTTTAATTTTAAAAAGGAGACCTTAATGAGATTCCAGGTGCTTAGAAATGCCCCCCGACCTCCATGGAGAGCACAGATAGCCAGTTCTCCCCACCCTCCTCTTGCCTGTGATGAACTCTGGACTTCTTCCTCAATGATCTCCATTAGTTAATCATCCATTGATCCCAGGTTGGACAAAATACATCAGCAGTATCTCAAATTCTAGATATTAGGATTTCAAAGAGACACAGAAAAGATAGGGAAAGCAGAACAATTCCACCGGAAGGTCTTAACTCTCAGCTCCCAATAATGGATGGTGGTTTGAGATCTCCTCTAGTTTCCCAGATAGAGAGTTGATGCTGAGGTCAGGAAGGTGAAACCATGCAGCCATCTCCACCAGCCCCAACTTCCAGATGTTATAAGCTCTGGGTGTGATTGCTGCTTACTGTATCCATGTTTTGTTCACAAAGCATTTATTTTATTCCATGAAAGTGGCAACACAGCAAGTTAGTCTACAAGGCTCCAAGTTAGCAACTCTGTTGGGGCTCTCCATCCTCCATGCCTCTATAGAATTAAAGGTACACGTCTAGCCTCAGGTGAGTTCATCTAAAGGCTTGTCCACAAGAAACGATAACACCCCCACCTTGAGACTTTTCAGTTCTTCAAGAAAGGAAACGCATACAAAAAATTGACAGTGTCTTGCAAACTCGGCAGCCAGCCCGTATCACGAGAAGGGGAAGTGTTTCTGAGAACAAAACGCCTCTAGTAGCATCAGCTGTCATTACTGTCACCATGACCTTGAAGAGCACTGGGCGACCCCAACAGCTCTAAGATCTCTGAGAGAAAGTATCTGGATGGAACCAAAATGATTACAAATGGGTACAGCAAAACATCTTCTCCTCTAAGTCAATATGTTGTAAAAACCTAGAAATTAGGGAAGGTCTTGTTCTGAACCTTCCAAACACCTGAAATTTCTGAGCTTTCTTCACCATGAGGTTGATACGGCAAAATGTAGGTGATGTGGAAGGCTGGGATACTGCAAGCCTGCATTATAACAGATTTTTAACGCAACACACTCTTCTGTTTTTTCTTTCTTTTGTTTTCTGTAAAGCTTGTTTTCCACAGTCATGAACCTGTAAAAATACCTTTGATGTAATATTGTGCCCTGCTGATTTGTACTATCTTGTTGACTTGATCATGACCAATGTCAAATTTGGTTCAGAAAAGGTCCCTGACCCAGAGGTCATGGTGAAATCAGACAGGACAACCACTTTCTTTGAACTCTTTCATTTATAGGCATGCTGGCACTGCCTATAAATGGAGATGTCCCCTTCGAACTGAAGAGGCCTCCTCAAGGAACTGGGCTAAGGTCTGTCTTCAGGGAGGTGGATGAGGAGATTCAGGGAGATTTCATTGTGGCAAGCATTTAGGGTCTTCAGATCGTTTGGAAGCCCATCCTGCTTTTAGTTATTTCATTCAACAGATGTTTATTGAGCAAATACCATGTGCCAGGCACTGTCAACACAGTAGTGATATTTACTGGGTTCAGACCTTCTGTTTTGCTTGATTTGAAAGAATGAGTTAAAGTCCTTGGTGTATACACGCACGCACACACACTCATTTTCATAGAGAAGGAAACAACAAACAAAACATCATGTCTGATTCATCCAAGAGGAATCTGTGGAAACATTTCACCTTCCTAGGATTGGATCAGCAAGACAGAACAGCCGCTCAGTCCTTGGTAGACCTGGGTAAGAGGCAGAAACTAGAGGTAGTTCCCCTGAAAATGCTCAACACCACTGAGGAACTTGTTCATGGGGCTCAGTGGGCAGCAAGAATACTGGCCTTTACACCCAAGCATAGGTCCCAGAAACAAGATCAGAGCAAGGAGCAGGAAACCAGGAATGAGAAGGGGGCAAGGACATGGGTCCCAGAAAGAAGACAGCAAAGACACAGGCCAAGTGCTGGGACTTCAGTGAAACATACCAGATCCGTCAGAAACAAGTGCTGCCCTGCCATCCTCTAAGCCAGCATCCTCCCTGAAGGGCATCTTTGGCTTTTGGACTTAGTGATGTTCACTCTCTAGGCCCCTCAGCAGACCAGCATGACTTCAGGACATCCTACTTTCATGTCTGAGTCACTTCAGCATCAATAAACTAGGCCATGGATGAAGAATTCTTAGTCAATCATTTGATGGGGCTCTTAGATGTCAAAAAAGAGAAAACATTGGTTTCGGTTTTGCATGTGGCATAAGTCATGCTTTTGTATCAAACAGGCACTGAGGCTGGAGAAACTGGGGCAAATTAATGCTAAACTCCTGCTCTTAAGGTCTCTCACTTGAGATTGCTTGTAAGATAACATTAGAGGAGGTTGGCTAACTTTGGGTGGTTTGCTCTTCTGATACCACTTCACCAGTGCTCTTCTCCCAGCAGAGGGATGTTTCTGGTAGTACTGAGCTAGCTGGTGCAGGGATTGGCTCAGGAAGCTCCTTTTGAAGGAGATTAGGGACAGGGAGACAGGCATAGCTCCTAGAGAGGAAGCTGGCTTCAGTGTTGGAAGTGAAGGCATGTGAAGCTAAACCAAGAGAGCAAAACAAGAGGCCTTGAATGAAATAAAAGTGTTATAGTTAAAAATGCTTTTCCTCCACCTGGTAACTGACCTGCTGCTGGGGTCCACTTAGAAACGGTCTGTTTCTTCACTTGCCTCACTTGGGTCCCCAGGAGTAATCCTCTCCCCATCAAAACTCTGTTAATCTGATTTCTTCTTTTCTTCCCATGTGTAACACATCCCAACACTTTAAATTTAATAAAGGGAAGCTTAATAGCATCATTAAATGAGTGTGAAATTTGGCAACGCTACATTTGTTTGGGAATATGGTACAGGCTCTCTGTATAGAGTAGAGAAATATTAAAGCATGTTTTATGATTTTAAGAATTTATAGGAAAATTAACTTCTGATTTCATTCTCATTTTGGCTAAGGAATCATAAAATTTCTTTAATGTAATTATGCATTTTTGCAGCTCTACTGTTCTAAGCTTGGTTATAGATTGCCAAGGCTTCACAGTGTAGAGGATGAGGAAAATTAAATCAGGTGATGAGAGTAGTTGCAGTGGTGTTTCTGAAAGTGTTCATATTGGTAAGAAATGTGCAGTGAGGTGACTATTTTCTGGACACTGCAGAAGTTCAACGGCTTTCTGAAGTACATGTGTACACTGCCCATGCAAACCATTGTATGGGGCAACAAATCTATGTGACTAGGACATTAATTTTAAGTTAAGAGAATACAGAAATAACTTGGAGGAGAATGCAAATCACACTTATCAAATGCTTTGTAGCCAGTAGAAGGGAGGGTCCATACACAAATCTTATGCTTGATATAAAATATGATTAACAGTGTTTTACAATGGTATCATATATTTGTTGTAAGTTTATGGATGTAATATGACAACAAAAAACGTTTCCTACACCTGATAGAGTGGTCCTGATAGGATCCTTCTCCTGAGGGATCCTACTCATGATAGAATCCTTTTTTGCTGTATCTTGACCCCAGGCTGGGGAGCTAATGAAATCTCACCTTGGGAGTATGGTATCCAAGAATTCCTAGGTTCCAGCATTTTCCCTTTCTCCATTGGTATTTTAGGACATCTTTATTTAAAAATCTAAGCACTATAACTTGTGAATATAACTTCTTTTTTTCTTAATGTTTTTTTGTTCTGAATTGAAGGCCATTTTTCCCCTTCTTACAGGGTGATGTGGCAATTTCTGAGAACATTTTATATTGCTGTGAGTTGGGACAGAGGGACTGTGTATTATTGGGTGGGTATTGGCCTGGGATCACCCTACAATGCATAGGAAAGCCCTACCACAGAGAATTATCCAATCCAAAATGGCAACAGGGCTGAGCCTGAGAACCCTAGATCCCTCCTACAGATATAGATTCCATTAAGCCAGGCATGATGGCACACACCTGCAGTCCCAGCTACTCAGATCACTGAAGAGGGAAGATTATTTGAACCCATGAGTTCAAGGCCTGTCTGGGCAATATAACAAGACCCCCAGCTGAACAAAATACATATGTATTCTACATAATCAATAATAACAACGCATATCATCTTTCTGAGCCGTCACTTCAAAGACACTCTCTCACTGTAATTAATGACAATGACATTGTTAATTTGCATTCATTACACACTCATATGTTATTAACGTCCCGTGAAAAGGCTGAAGTGAAGAGGACACAGAGGGGTCACTCACCTCTTAAACAAGACCTGGCTGTAGGCATCTAGAACGTGGGCATGGGTGTGGAGCAAGATGGTGTTGTAGCCCACCATCGCCACCATCATGATCACCATTTTCAACTCATAATTCACCCTCAGGAAAACTGAGCAGGATATCAAGCCCAGAATGCAGCTGTATATGAAGTACTGGGACAGAGAAACAGGACAGACAGACATTTAGGATCTCTTCCAAGACATGCTGACACAGTTAAATTCAGAGTCCACCATCAAGCTTGTGTGGTCAACTTGCAAATTGGTTGTGAAAACAGATGCCTTTTCGTACCCTTGGAGCTCAGTGCAGTGGGTTTATGAGAAGTACTCATCCATGGCTTTCTGGCCCAGCCTGGCACAATAAATTAACAGTAAGCATGTAAATTTCTAAACATGTTTCAGAAATAAAAATTTAAAAACCCTACAATGAAGATATGTCATACGCAAATGTCATGTATTTCTTGAAAAGGGAAATACTACGATCCCATATACATTTGTGGAATTTTGAAAGTGATATTATGTAGAACTTCTTCATCCTTTCAACGGTTTAATTCATGGAAGGGATATAAATTGCCACCGATAAGTCTGTTAAAAGAATAAGAAAGCCTACACATTGTATTAAAAGAGAAATTGTGCCTCAGAGGGTCTGTCTAAAACAACAGGGATTTAAAATAAAAGCCTGGGCTAAGGTGAGTCAAGAAGACCCTGGCTCCAGAAGAAATAGGAAGCATGGAGCATAAGACACTGGCACTTTGCATCTCAGTCCATGGGAAGCTGCAGGCAGGCCAACTGTGGGAACTGTTTCCTCACCATCTACCACACAGATAGGGGGTCAAGAGCCCTGGACTCAATCCTGTTTGCATCACTCATTAGCTGGGTGGCTTTTGGCCAGTGACCTAACAGCTGATATCCCATTGTCTTCAACTGCACATTGACAGTAATGGTACCATTCTTATAGGTCACTACAAAGAATAGAGATAACAAACCCATAGCCCCTAGACCTGCAGCCAGGAGAGGCTCACTAAAGGGCAGCAGTTGCCACTTGCAGAAAGTCTTGCTGGCTACAACAGGGAGATTTTGAGAACATGAGGTTGTGTTACTGTCTCAGCCTTCCTGGGACAGAAAGATCACTCAAGAAAGGTTAAGAATTTTAATAAAATAGATCATATTGGTGCATGATACAACTGGTCTTAAGAAACAAGCACCATTTATAAGCCACTCAATTGCAAAACTTCATCCAATTTTGAAGGGTCATGGGGGATCGGAACGCCCTTAAGTTATGTCAATTCCAGCTTTTTGCTTGCGACATTCCTCAAGCTTAAGTTCATTTCCCAATAAGGCTATCAGCGCATAGAGCTCATGTCACTAAAAGCTTTCTCTCGGGTAGGGATTCAGGGAAGAGGTCCGCGCTAGTGATGAACAACATGCAGACTTCCTCTTTGTCATCAGCGTGGTACTTAACGATCTGTGGCCAGAGCATCTATTCACCTGCTAATATTTCACCCATCACCAAAAAATCTCCGCAGATGCTACCAGCAACAATGGTTAATAATCACAATCAGTGTTCATCCAACTACTCACCACTCTGCTGCCAGGGTACCATTGCCTGAATACATGATTAACTACATAAACACATGCTTCAGCTAAGGAAGACTTTGCCCGAGACTTTTGGCTACCCAATATTCTCCCTGCGATCAACACGGACCCACCTTTTGCGGGAAGTCATAGCAATTCCTTTGCATGTAGCCTAGAGGGTGGCTCTTCATTTAGAGTGGCAGCATCTCAGGGATAATGAGCATAATTTCTTCAGCTGCAATGACCTAATGTCCAGTAGACTCCCACCTGTCTCTGTACTGTCCAGCTCCCCACCCCTACCTCAGGAGACATATGGAGTGTGAAGAGTCGAGGAACACAGGGTCATGATGGAGTGTGAAGGAGGAGACAAAGGGTCATGATAGGAATCAGGAGAAATGTGAACATCTGGACAGGCAGTATCTGCCTTCTCCTCCCCAAAGCTGAAAGGTGAAAGAGGCACAGCAGATCCTTTGAAACCAGACCTGAGTATACACTTCTGCAGTTTTTGCCTGAGAGATCTGGCCAGGCATCTACCTCGGGGCATCTGAGGACTCAATGATATATGACACTTTTGCACTCTGGGTTGCTCAGGATGGCCACCTAAGTGGGCCAGCGAGCAGTGCAATCTGCCCAAGAGATCTGGACAGAATGTTGATAGCGATTTGACAGAATATGCTTGTTTTGTTGACTATGACAGGATATGGGCTCACATTGCATAATGCATGTTTTCTTTTGTGGTTCATTTTTTCTGGTAATCTATCAGGTTTTTCAAACGCATTAGTCTGTAACAAATTGGAACTTAAACAAAATAAAATGAAAATAGGGTCTTCCCACAAAGAGTGTGAGAGGCACTGACTATATCCTGGTGGTTCTTTCCTCTGTAAGGTCCCAAAACTTTTCCTGAGAGCCTTTGCTATTGCCTTGGGAACCGAACACGGCAGGGTCCCCATCTACTGCTCTTGTCCTGGGATTTGCCACAGCAGCTCATTTTAACAATGAAGGCAATCTTGGATCTTCCACATTTCACTCAAAGGAGGGATGAAGATAACACCACATCTACCTCAGACAGTTCTGGGGAAGGTTGCATGTGTTACCTGCACATGAGTTCAGAGCAGTGCTGGCCTTAAGCAAAGATACATAAGTTCTATTATTATTATTATTATTATTATTATTACCAATTGGGGTCTTTATCAGTTTCAACTTTTAAAAGAGTTCCACAAATAAAACTATGCTTGAAAAACCACGTGTACTTCAAGTTACCAATTCAGTGCAGACTAACTGAATGAGAAGGCTGAATAAAGACCCGTTTTGAGAGTTTCGGTATGTGTCAATCCATGCATGGGGATTTCAGCGGGGTGGGGGTTGAAGGGCTTGGGGGTTGAAGCAGATTTGTAAAGTTTCCCACAGTAATTACCCATAGTGTGAAACATATGTCAATAGCTACACGATGTATCTGAGATTTCACATTTTAGTATTCACTCTTAAGTTTTCACATTTCAGGACCATCTCTCTCTCTCTCTCTTTTGCTCTCTCTCTATCTCTGTGAGGTTGAACTCAGGACTTCACCCTTGCTAGGCAAGCACTATACCACTTGAGCCACTCTGCCAGCCCACAGTAACATCTCTTAAAATATATGTGTTAATGACAGATAATTTCTCAGTCCATTTTTATTAAATAGACTTTCTGGAATATTTAGAATGTTTCTAAGAGTGGGTACCAATGAGAGGGTGGTGTGCATGAGGAAAGGGTGAATAAGGGTGAATATGATGGATGTATTTTATATTCATGTATGAAAATAGAAGAGTGAAACCTGTTGAAATTATTCTAAGAGGGGGCAGGGGGAGGAGAGAGAATGATGGAGGGGGTAAATCTAAGTAAGATATATTGTAAATATATCTGTGATAAATATACACTGTATAAATATACACAACTAGTATATGCTAATAAAATTTTTATATGAAATAGAACAAATAAACCCCTTGCAATAACTTTAAGTGGGGCAGAGAGGAGGTTTAGGGGAAGAAACTGTGGGGGTGATCTAACCAATGTACAATATAAAACTATTTGGAATTGTCACAGTGAATCCCCTCTGTACAACTAACTTATCTTAATAAAAAATTATGAAAAAGAAGAATAAAAAGGTAGGCTGGAAACCTGCAGATAGCCACAGGAAGAGATAGCCTCTTCCTGTGTGTAAGAGGAAGAATGGTGGGAAAAGGAGAGGCTAGAGGTTTGAAGACTAGCCACCCCACTCCATAATTCAGCCCCCCGGGGGGGAAATGCTAGGTGGTCCAGGCTTCTGGTAGTGAACCCTTGAACTGATGTTTAAAAGGACAGATTTATAGTAACCTGATTACTACTGATAGAATTGATGAAATCAACTTGGTATTTATGTCTGATAATAGCTGCAGTCTTTTGTTAATTTGCTGAATTGTCTTTGGGCCTCAGTTTCTTCACCTACAAAGTAGGAATTCCAATAATATCTACATCAAGAGTTTGTTAGATAAAATGATATAATGTATACAAAATGCCTGATAAGGCATGAAGAGCTTGTGTGATAAACATCCTTACAGTTAATTTTGTTTAGCACTTTAAAGAATCTTTTTTTCCTACTACAGAAATACCATATCTCTTGTTAAATTTAGAAACTAAATTTAGAAACTATACAAATGAACAAATGTAAGAATAAAGGTCTCTGATAATCTCCAAAAGCCATGTTTAGCTAACACTATTACTTATTTGTGTATGTCTTTCTAGCCTTTTTTTGCTACTTATTGGAATTATTATTTAAAAAATACAGTCATACTGTTTGGAAGAATTTTGAATAATATTTTCAGTTAATAATTTATCATGTAGATGGATATAAATAAATATTGTTGCAACATCTTTTGTAAAGGTGTAATTTTACCATGTGAAGATGACAAAATTTTGTTTTAAAAATTGTGTTTTCTAAGTTTTACTTTTTCCTTTTTGATGTTTACATTCTCTAAACATTTTGATGAACATTTTTATGGGCAGTAAACCTTTCTATCTTTAAGATTATTTTCAGAATTAGTCTTATAGGGCAAAAAAGTTTCTTTTTATGCTTTTCTGATGATTATTTTAGTTAGCATTAAGAAGAGTGATGTCATTTTATGCCAACACCAGCAATGAATGGGATACTTCCCCATTCATTTCTCAACCTCAAATATGAGGTAATGTGGAGTTAAGAGAAATATGCTCAGTGATACACACCCATAGTAGCATCCCTGTTGTCCTGGGGACTGTGAAGTGGGGAGCTCTGGTGCTTCCAGGCTCCTCAGGGATTCCTGAGCTCTGAGTAAATTAAGACATGCCATAGTGAGGCCTCCTTGGCAAGGCTTACCAGAACCTGCTTCCTAAATAGTTACCACTGGAACAACGGAAGCCTCTTCACCTGATTTTGAAGACTCTATTATGTGTTTTTTTCCCCAGAAACAGAGTAGATGCTGAATTTCTGTATCTTTGGTTTCTGATTATTTCCTTTGATTGTAAATATAATACAAACTCACCTAAATGAAATTTATAATGATGACATCATTCTTTTAACAATGCTAAGATGAGCTGCTCTACTCAGACATTTTGGATGGAAATATTTATTTTTAATTCCTGCCAGCTTATAGTTTCCTTACTATGAAGAATGCACTTTTAACCTTTAAACTTAACTTCCCATGTGGATGTTGGAGGGAGGTGGCTTGGCAAGTGGTTTCTGCACTGACCTGTGGATCGTGCAGATGTAATGGATGTAATGCTTTTGGCCCAGGGATGAGGAGGCAAACCAAACAGCAAATTTCATCTTTCCCCCGCCACAGAGAATTCCATCGCCCACAGGGAGATTAAACTCCATAAATCAACCAATTTGGGTTATAATACATATACGCATAGAGATGTCACAATGAAACTCCTTGTATAGTTACCCTAAACAAACAATAATATCTTTTTTTCAAAATGGAGAACAGGGAGGTAAAACAGATCCTATCGGGGGACTGGTGCCAGTGGGAGGGGGAGGATATAAGGTAACAGCGTAGGAGGGTGAATATGATGGTAATATTATGTATTTGTGTACGTACATGGACAAAAGGGAGCTGTCAAAATTATTATAGGGATAGGAGGAAGGGGATAAAGGAAAATGATGGAGGGGCAAATTTAATGAAGATATGTTGTAAGTGCTTTTGTAAATGTCAGTATGTACTTCTGGTATAACAATAATATGATCATAAAAATATAAAAAAATAAAAAATAACACCAGAGGCTACTACTATGTGAATACAGAGCTGAAAGCTTCCCAGGAAATGAAAATGATGAGAAGGGAGAAAGATTGAAAGCAAAATAATCAAGAAAATGAGTCAGTGAAATAAGAGTGGAAGAAGTCTACTTATAGCCATTAAAGTTAAAATATTGGTAGGAAACTCTGACAGTATGCATATTAAATTGCCAATTTCACTTAGCATTCACAAAAGTGACTACTGGAGATAGACATTAAATAAAAATGGCCTCTGCTACTTTTAAATGATTATTCAAAAGGTGAAAAGGGAGGTATCAAAATATGTCTTTTTCTTTTCACAAACAATTCATGAAAGAAAGAAAGTGTTATACAGTAAATTAATGATTTAACTTTTTCACTAAAAAGACTGATGTTTTAATAAGTTTCAAATTTTCAGTTTGGGTCCTTTGTGACATTGGTTAAGAGTCAGTTAGCAAAAATTATTGGAGAATAGAATCCCTGGGGTAGCAGCAATAGGAAATATGAACTCTCCGTCAAAGTGCTAAGAAATAATATTAATTCACTGGAACCAAACTCTGTAGGCAACAAACTCAGAAAGTCAGTGGCTTACCAGTGAATGTCACAGGTAAGGGAAAAGCTGGAAAGACAGCAGCAATGAAGAGAACAAAGAAAGTGTACTTGGAGAAGGCATCAAAATGGCACCAGAAGTTTACAGATGCCTGTGAAGCCAGTCCCGAAGGGCTGAGAATTCTAGTGATGTTTTGCATTTTAAACTCAGGACAAACGCAGGAGTCAATGCCAAAAACGAAAAGCAAAAGGATGTGGAGGCTGAAGTCACGCAGAAAACAGCAAAGGTCACGATGAGTGCAACTTTCTTACCGGGACGAAAAATAAGTTTTGCGCACGCAGAGTCGCCGCTTGGTTATTTGAGGCAGACAAATTTACATTCGATGTATTGGCAGTTGGAGGGATTGCTTCCTCTGAGTCACTCAGGAAAAACTGTGGAGAGAAATATTTTTTCAGTAAATTGGTGCAAAGTCCAGTGTCTCTTCACTGAAAGTGCTCATTAGCTTTCATCTTTTCCTTTTTGAAGCTTTTGGAAATTCTTCTGCTCAATAAGTGCTTCAGAATAAGTGAAGCCAGGGAATCTTCAAGATTGATGTTAAGGAAAATGGAACCACCTGCATTAAATCCTAAGTTAAAAATGCAAAAAGTCAGGAAAAGGGTTTGGTTGGCCAACATCACTACATTCAAACCATTCAACTCTCTTCAAAATCAGGGCATTGAGAATGCTTTTTTTTTTTGCAGTATCTTTGCCATCTTGGTTCAAACATTGAATGAGTCAATAGGTTTTTGTGAGTTGCAAGAAAAGAAATTGTTTTTATGGGCAAAAAGCAATCACTGTCACCAGAATTTGTTTCTATTATTTGTGAGCATGTGGCAGCTCAGACAATGAGGAATTGCAGATGTGAGACGATATTGGTCCTCAGGACTGTTGGAATGGGATTGGAATTAAAACAAGATAAAGGTAATTAATGTAATGATCACTAAGATCAACACCCAGAAGTAAAGTGTCAACCAGTTAGCAAGGCAGAAGAAACTCAACCTCTCACTCATTCTCTCTGTCTCTCTCTCTGTCTCTCTTTCTCTCTCCACTCCCTCTCTCTAGGTCTCTCTTTCTCATAGAGACCAGGGATCACTTTGCTGTAATGTGGTTAAGGATCACAGGACTGTTTTGGAAAGAAAAGCTAGAGCATCTTGACTTGAACCCGTTTCTGTTTCCAGAAAGAAATTAATTTTGTCTATAAATTCACGTTGTGCAGTCAGCATAAGTTTAAACATTCAAAGTTTAAAAAGTAAAACTTACCATTTATATAGTTGCTTTTCTTTGTGTCTATTTGTTTATTTCCTTTGATGTTATAGTTCTTGTCAAATAGCAAAACTAACTTACTTATGTTGGTAGGAAGATATTAATGTGGTATATTCTTGGGGTTTGTGCCTCTTCTATTCCAAAGGTAAGGAAGAGAAACACAATGGGTTTGCCTGACTAAAGAACAATATATTCACAGGTGAAATACAAAGGCAAGCCCCCCCACCCCAAACAATGAACAGACACTAAAACAATGGATGAGAACGTAAAACAGGTCATATTACAGGGAGGGAATCAGTGATAGAGAGAGAGAGTAAATGATATTTTTCTGCACATGTATGAATATGAAACATTGAAACCTGTCAAAGTCACTTCAAGATGAGGAAGGAGAAAAAGGAAGCTAATGGAAGAGATGAACCAAACCTGGGTACACTGTATGCATACATGGAAATGTCACAATGAAATCCCTGTATAACTGTCATATAAAAAAAAGCATTTAAAAAGAATACCAGATATGTTTCTCCCTATTATACCATTTGATAAGACTTAATGAAATGCTGATTTTAAAGTTGAAGAAATGGTGTTTATTTACTGTTAAAGAATATATATCAAATGTCTCAATCTCTAGTTGAACTACAAATTTGCTACTTCTTTGAAAAAATTGTATTGGGAAAAAAAGGAATAGAGTAATACTTGGCAAATATTGGACTCAAAAATATGAAAAATTTAAATTTGATAGATGCCAAATTCAATTGGTTTAAATAGTAAAGAACCAAGAAATGACAATTAAAGGAGGCTGTTCAGTCACCAAGTTTAGTTTCAGGTACCCAAGATCTAAATATAATTAATGAAATCTTCTTGATTATATCACCACATTGGCAAGAAAGTGAGTTTGTAAAATAAGGTGATGTGCTCTTGCTGCGTGAGTGGAGAGGTACAGGTCTCACAAGGGCGGTAAAGGGTAAATATTGTGATGCACACTTGAAAAACAGAACACTTACACCATGATGCCCAGGAGTGCTGCCATAGCCCCTCTGCTGTCACTGTCTAGTGTTTATTAAATATCCCCAAATCAGGAAGCTTTTCTAATCCCTTATCCTTCTTTTTCTAAGTTAAGCTGCCTCAACTTTCCACATAGAATGAATTTCCAACATCATAATTATCTGGGGGAACCCCTCACTGGATCCATTTTCATTTCTAACCCTTGATAATAACTGGAAAAATGATATTGCCATCTTGAATAAGAGCGCCTCGTAAAGTGCTAAAGAACACCCCCATATGTTTAGCCTTATGTCCAAATTTTATATTTCCTTGGAAAGTTAAACCATACCACAACTATGCTTTTCAAATACTGTTAGATTTCAAATGCACAATCTATATGGTGTTTTATGCCTTATGACATTATTGTGTTTGTCATTTGGTAGGATTTAGAAGTCCCGATGGATTACCAGTTAACCTCAGCTAACTGTGAGGCTCAAAAATTTTGTATGACTTATTCATAATAAATCTCCTGGAAGTTTCTCAGAAATGATGCAGACAATCACATTGTCAAACTGTCAGAATGAACAATGGCAGGACTGTTTGTTTCTTATACCTGATTCTAAACAGTTGGCTGGAAAATGAAAACTGAACAAAGCAAGGTCATTTGCAACTAGATACCAAAAATCAACATTTGAAAAAAATATAGACAACAAATTGTGTTTCTTCACTTTTTATTGAGGTATTTATTATTTTCAAATGTTTAAAACTTCCTGGTAAAATCTCTCTATTCACCAAAATACAGATAACAAATTGTGTTCACTTTTTATTGAGATATTTATTATCACATAGATGAACATCAAATGTTTAAAACTTCCTATTGAAAGCTCACTATCCACTTTTCATAAAACTGACCTGGACCTTCTGTTATCCAACATAATAAGATCTTAAAAGGCCCAGTCCTCTGAACACACTATTCCTGCTGACCCCTGCTCTCCTCAGTGCTGTTAATATTCAGGTTCAAATAAAACACTAGTGAGCAAAACTAGATGCAAAGCCTCAGTGTGAACTGGCCTATCTCCATGGTCATGAGCAGCCTCAAGCCCCCTCAAATTGTCTCAACACATCTGCCCCCTCTGCATTGGACAAGGTAATGGCAGGTGACACTAGAGAAGCCATTAATAAGGACTGTCTGCCACTGACTGGGAAACTCAGGGCTAAGGGAGCCTCTGGTCTACAGTATCAGTAAGAAAATGAGAGCCTTGAGGATGGTATGATAGGTGAGATTAGTCAGACACAAAAGGACACTTATTGTGGGATTACACTTACAGGGGGCACGCAGAATAGGAAAATTAATAGGGACAGTTACCAGAGAATGGAGAAAGGGGAATGGGGAGCTTGTTTAAGGGGGACAGAGTTTGTGTTTGGGATGATGATCAAGTTCTGGATATATTGGTGGTGACTGCATGACACTGCAAATATACTTTATACACCTAAAATGGTTAAATAATACCTTTAATGTAACTTTTTGCACAAGATAAGTGATATTAGAAACAGGAAAAGAAAGGAAATAAAAGGAAAACATCATGACTTTGTCCCTGGAAGAAAATGTAACTACAGGGGCTGTACATGAAGACAGGAATGGGACTACAATTTTTTTTAAATGAAGTTTTCTGACAGATAATTTTTTTCTCAATGAATTAAGCAAAGCAGGTACACACATGTATGCCATTTCCTACAACCAACACAGACAGCTACTATTGTTATTGAAATGTGAGTCCTCCCCTCACTGGGTTAACAGCTGTGAAGAAGTACAAATACAACTTGGGAGTGGGACTCAGTTGTTTGGAAAATGTGTTCCCGGAGGCAATATTGGGAAAAATGTAAAAATCTATACCTCATTTACAGAAGCCTCCCCATTACAGACAATTGAAAGCAAAGCTAGGAAAAAAGGCACTGAAACAACACTGGGAGAGTTTAATGGAGGGCAGATGGACCCTGGGTTTTGTCCCTTTTCCAGAGGGAGGTTGAGAGAGAGGAAAGAAGGGGGTGCTTACCGCCCTGGTGCTGTGCCCCACCAAGTCCGTTCTAACCTACAGCTCTGCTCCAGTGCTCCCAGTGCTTCTCTGGCCCACTTGGGGACAGGTGGGAGCCAGGAGGCTGGTCTGGCCCTCAGAGGAACTGGAGGGCTTTTCTCTGCAAACCCTCAGATATGATCAAAGGCAGGGCCTCATAGACAAACCCTTCTTCCATGATTAGCAAGAAATTTTAAGAAAACTCTACAACTAGGCAGGATTACTTCCTTTTCAAATCCAATGTTGGCCTTTATCCTTCATGATCTTTCTTTGACATAAACAGAAGAGGAGCACCTGCATGGAAAGGTGCCACTTGGGACACTTTAATAAAAGTGGCATTTCTCCTGCACAAGGGCCAGGGGGCGGGGGATGGGAAACTGTGGCCCAGGAAGGAAAAACAGTGATTTAGCTCAGTCTTTTCTCTACAGAAGGTTGATTAGTGTGCAGCACAAAATCGTGTTCCATTTCCTACTCAAAGAGCACCCATCAGACTTTGCATGCATCTTTGGCAGACTTCTGTACCTCACATGGAAATGTGAGAAAGAAAAATGACACAGGAAGATAGCTGTTTCTTGGTGAAGCCCAACTTCTTCTCTCTAGAAGGATCATAGTTACTGTGGGAAACAAGCCTCCTCCTAAATGCTCAGTTTGTCAAGCATTTATAGACGGTCGGTAAACTGCCTGTCACTCATGATTAATTATCCTCTGTGGAAATGGGTATTTTCCAAATCAAAAGCTATATTCTCATAAAAATTTTGGTAATAAATCCTGGTTGTGCAAACTCAAACTGGATTTTACAAATCAAATGGTTTCTTTTTTCAAACGGTTGTGTGCTTCCTTCATTCACTCTCACGACTGCTCACTCACTCACTGCCAATTCATTCACTTACTTAAGAACTAAAGAATGACTATGGAAATGTCACAATGAAATCACCCATACAACTATTATATGCTAATAAAAATGTTTTAAAAAGAATTAATGAATGGCTACTCCTTACACAAAATGCACTTTCCTAAGACATTCCTAGGACATATGGAAATAATGAAAAAAAGAGCTCCTCAAAGAGCTATCTTCCCATGCATTCCCATGTTAATTAAAGCATTGTTCACCATAACCAAGATATGGTCCAATGAATGGATAAAGAAAATGTGGTATGCACAAAGTAATATTATCAGTCTTAAAAAGGAAGAAAATCCTGTCATTGCAACCACATGGAGAGTCTGGAGGATATTATGCTAAGTGAAGTAAACCAGTCCAGAAAGAAAAATACCACATGATCTCAACTGCATATGGAATTTCAGAAAACTGAATCTCATGGAAACACAGAATAACAAGCACTAGGGTAAGAAGACAGGAAGTGGGGAGATGAAGGTCAAAGAGTAAAATTACAGTTCTGTAGGGTAAATAAGTCTAGAGGTCTAATGTATACATTAGACACAGGATTTGTGTACAGTGAAAGTTTCTAGAGTTGGGGTGATCTTTTACACACTCACACACACAAACTATGGATGGTTTTATTAAATTGCTTATCTGTAGTAATATTTCATTATGTAAATTTACACCAAAACATCATGTTCCACACTTTAAATTTATATGGGAAGGAAGGAAGGAAGAAAGGAAGGTTGTCCTTTCTCATCTTTCGCCTTCCTTCTCTTCCCTTTGTCTATGAGCAAATGCCTTGTCCCCACCCTTCAGAATGCAGCCTAGCAAGCCCACTCCACCTCCTTGCCTCCTCTATTGCCTTTATTGCTGACTACTGTACTTACGATAATTTGATAATGAGTTTACCTGCAACCCTCTGTGACTCCTGGAAGCCAGAGCATGCATTCTGGGCATCCAAAAATGGACCAGGAACACATTTATACACTTATGTACAATAATTGTTTTTCAGAATGAGTGCTTTCTACTGAATGAAAACAATGCCATTAAGTATTATTGTCAAGTTATATATGGTCTGTCACCTCAGGCTGAGTGCATGCTTTTTAGGAGGAAAGAACAATACCTTGTGACACTGTTCTCCAAACACCAGCAGTCTGCAGCACGCACTGCGAACTGATGATGATGATGATGTTGTGAGAATAATAAATACAGATGTGTCTCCAGGCACATTGGTGGCCTAAAAGTGTCTATTTTGGGAGGAGATCCCAGAAATGATGATATTGATATGGGAAGAGTGTTCATCGGTTCCATATTTACAAAATTGCCAGTGCCATCTAAGTGTAGTGGAAATGATGGCTCATGTGACCCTCAGGACCAACCTGGCTGAGGGGTCATGGATCCCACTTTTGAGAAGTGGAAATGGAACCTGAGAAGTTTAATGAAGATGTATCCCAAATTGTGTCACATGGGTATGACCTGGAATTTCAAATCAGGCCTTTAATAACCTCTAGGAAAGGACAGGGTCACTCACTCTGATGGTTCCAATATCACTCCTGCCTATCCTAATGACATTCCGTGTCATGTCTGAAGTCTTCTGGGCAGCCACCATGATAAAGGAAGTAAGGAACAGCTTCAAGAAACCAACTTCTTTAGCTTGTGCTAAAGAATCCTTTTCCTTACACGAGCTACTGCACAGCTGTGAAACGTTAAAGTCAATAGGAAGCAAGTTGTGTTACCAAAGATGTCCTGTATAAATGTGTTTTGTGACAAGCCACAGAGGCAGGAATGCCTGCCTGCTGTGACCCTGACTCAACCCTGTGGCTTACCATGTTGAACACAGCCATGGTCAGAATGATGGCGGTGGTGATGACTGTGAGGGAGACTCGAGGCCAGGGGCGGTTTGCAATGATGCCTGATGACTTCAAAAGCCACATGAGAGAGGCAGAGCTTTTTTGCTACATTGCTGGAAGGAGAGAGAAAGAAAAGGAAATTTATTGCTGTTTAACATTTTCTCTTAAGTTTTTAACGATGATGTCTAAAAACCACAAGAAATGCCAACACTGTTCATAGACTAGAAACAACTAGACTGTATTCTCCCGAGGGAACACAACAGTCACAAACCTAGTAAAATTATGTAGGCATCATTGTTTCATACTAAGAACCAATTAAGTAACTGTGACAAAGGTATAATGCAATTATACGCCTTTAAAAAGAGTCCCAAAGTTATGTTTTTAAGGAATTCTTTTGACAGAGAAAAAAAATGTCATTTAACTAAATCACTCTGGAGGATGCATTGTATCTCATTTGTCAGTTTTATAAATTCAGCTGATTTGTGAAAAAAGCAGATCAGCATGACTCCCACTCCTTTTGTTGCAGCAGCAGGCTGATCACAACAATACAACCACACTGGAGACGTAGTGGGGTGTCTGGTCCCACAAAGATCAGGTCCCACGGTCCTAGGCATAGGGAACAATAACCACACCTCATCCTGTTTTGTGGGCTTTCAGAAGCTCTGTTTAAAAATTTCTAAACAATTTTTAATGGTGTGGAAAAATACAACATAAAATTTATCTTTTAAAATCACCTTTTAAGTGTAGAATTATGCTAACTGTATTTACATCTTATGACATCTCTAGAATTTTTTTATCTTGAAAAAACACTGAAACTGTACCTATTGAACGCTAGCTCCTGTTCCTGTGATTTTTATCATTGTAGGCACCTGATTTAAGTGAACCACTGTAGTGTTTGCCCTTCTGATGGCACATTTCACTTAGCATAATTCCTCAAAGTTCATCATATTGTATCATATCATATTCGACAGAATTTCCTTCTTTTTAAAAGGCTGAATAAAATCCCACAGTACATGTTTTGTTTATCCATTCATTCATCCCTTGGAGGATATGTGGGATACTTCCATCTTCTAAGCTATGGTGAAAATGTTGCTATACGCATGAATCTCTTGCTACAAGACGGAATGTACACCTTTAGAGAATGGTGGCCAGAGTCTCAGAGATGACCTCACCTCATCCTGACAGCCACCTTTCAAGGAAGGCACCATGGTGAACTCACTTGAGTTCAAGGGAAAGGGCAAAGCGCAGAGAACTCCATCAATGTGTGGGTTCCATGAATGCTCTCTGAGCAGATGGGAATTTGGGTATGTCGTCTGATATGACAGGAAGAACTTAAAGACTTATCCAGGGATCTACATTTTAATTCTTTATGTTAAAGAAACTGTGGCTCCCAAGGCTTTGTGCTCTGGAAGCATACAAAAAAGATGACTTAAGAAAATTCAGAAGATCGTAGGACTAAAGAAATTATACTCTTTCACCTGACCTACTGACCTGCTAGACCTAGTTTAAACTCAAATAGGGAATATTCCCGAATAGCATTAACAAGCACCATTTTTATTTCTCTACCTCTTACACATTTTCTTTCTGAATTAAATATTGTAGATATAAGCATTGCAATATACTAAATGTCCATACAACGATTAAATGAGATTAATACAGGAGAAGAACACAGGTTAGAAGAGTCAAGAGCCATCCAATGGTTTCAATACCCCACAGCCATCAAATCTTCTGAACTTTACTATCCACTCTGGTCTTGGTTTCTTCAACTTTAAAATGAGGATTACAATAATGCCTGCCTCCTCAGCCTAGTCAGAGATTTAAATGAGCTACATAGGGTACTGGAGATAGGACTTTTAGTTGTTGACTCTTGTTATTTCAATGAAGAAAGCATGATATTTCTCAGAAACATTTTAGTTTCTAAGAATCCATTTGCTTTATAGTTTTTTGGATAACAACACTAAAAACTACTCTTTCTCCTTTTTCTCACCATGGCCTTCCCCCTTCCAGGGCCTGATATAAAAGAGGAAGAATGTTTGTCTATAGAGGCCCCACTGATGATTCACCACTTGGGGAGATTTTCCCAAGCACTTCCCTGGCTTCTTTGAGAGTGTGTCAGAGAGTTTGAACAGTGCTGCCATGGCCTCCAGAGGCAGCCAGGAGCTGAATCACTGACTGGTGCAGAAGGTGACTGGGCTGAGCTCTTCAGAGCATCTTCCCACCTGTAACTTGGGAGCCAGATCTGCCCTTCATGCATGTAGTCAAGAGCAGAGTTTTAGAAGGGGCTGGTGATGGCCCTAAATCTGCCATTAAATAGGATGATCCTTAATGCTATTAGCATGCAGGATTACAGAGGTCACGTACCCAGAGAATACCCACCTGAGGAAGCTTATAGTTGCTGTTTAATGCATGCTATTTCTAGTGATAAAAGTGGTACAGAATACTATCAGATCTGTGCTCTGTAGGAGAAGCTGTGATGAAGTATCAAGACTCAAGTTCACCCAGGTACCAGTGGCTCCTGCCTGCAATCTTAGCTACTCTGGAGGGAGAGATTGGGAAGATCATGGTTTCAAGCCAGCCAGGGCAAACAGCTCGTCAAGACCCTATCTAAAAAATATCCAGGACAAAAAAGGATTAGTGGAGTGGCTCAAGCGATAGGGTGCCTGCCTAGAAAGTATGAAGCCCTAAGTTCAAATCCAAGTGCCTCCCCTTTTGGGTTCCTTTTCAAGTCAGATAACATCCTCATCTATCTCAGATTCCAACAGGTTATGGTGTTTAATTTGGTTCTGGAAAAGTAAGACATTATTCATGTATTTGTGTACTGATGGACTAGAAGAATTAGGGTTTTTTTTGTATCAATACAGACATTAAGATCAATGCTTTTCTGTCTAAAGGAAATTATAAACACATATGGTATTGAAAACATTAAGACAGAAAGCACCAATCCTTATCACTTTAAAGAGACAATCTAAATCTAAGTCAGATTCCATACCATAACCAATAGGGAAAAATATTATCTAGTTACTACACAGAAATATTTTTGAAATTATGAAATTAAAACAAGTTACTCTGAGTTTTTAAAAAATACCTGATGACAATCTTAACAAATATGCTACCTAATAGTGATGTTATATTCTGCTCATAAGCTCACCATTGACTGAAACAGAGCTGTGCAAATGTACAATAATGTCAGTGCTCTTTTGTGACATTCTGAGTAATGTGACACACATGTGGCATTTGAGTGCAAGACACTAAGTGTGGGGTTTGGTGTGTGGGGCTCAGGGCTACAGATTCAGGGTGCACCCACATAGTTTTCATACATACCTAAAAGTACCCTGTGAAGCAATTTTTTAAACTTATCATTGCTTTCCAAGTTCAGGGAGGCACACAGTTTTATTTCCTTCCCATCAGCAAGTAGAAGCAAAGGAGATAAAGCTTTTGTGAAGAACAACTGGTCAACATTGCTGGTATCTGGGACAAGGAAGTAGAATTTGATATGGAGCCAGAAGAAACCAATGATGAGAATAAGAGGAGGAAAAAGACAAAGATTTTTAAAATAGAAGGAACCTGATTAAGGAAAAAAGGAGAATGGTTCAATTTGCAGCTCTCTATAGAAATGGCACTTCATGGTCATCAGTTCAAGTTGCTCTGTTTTGGTTATATATTCCAATCAAGTCATTGGTAGAGAAGTAAGTTTATAAAAATCCCTGGCCATTCTAATTCAATGTTAATAATGAGGACATTTCCAATGATATTTTCCCTTACTTGGAAGCTGCTATTCAACAGAAAATGGGAAGATGCCTGCCATGAGCCCCGTGTAGTGCAGCCGTGAGCTTTATCTTGGTTTGACTACTTGTGTCATTTCAGCCAAATCTGCAAATCTGGCTCTTCCTGTTTTGCTTATCTTCAGAGTCCCCAGGGTCCTAGGATTGTTTTTTATTTATTTATTTTTTGGGGGCTTCCATTTACAGTGAGCTTACTGTGTCCTTCAGAAATGCCCTTGGCTGCTAAGGACACATTCATTACTAACAAACATAGGATTGGCACTAAATGTAGTGGGACACATAAAAGAAGAAATAATACACACTTACAAGAAAACCTTACTACCTACTTAGTGCTGGGCATGATGGGCAGTGTGGTGTGGTAGAAATTGTGTGAGATGAATACTGAAGTTCTTATCTCTGTGCAGGCAGATAGTCCATGGGAAAATAAAATATTTGTACATTTTATTGGGAATAAAAAAGGCAAGGAAAATATCTCTACCAAAAATATTTCTCTCTCTGTGCCCCTTCTCTTCCTCTTTTTCTTAATCCAAACATTTTGTATTGGAAAAGACTGGTAGCCTCTTGCTACAAAATAATTCCTCATAATTTAACTTAATAATTATAAAAGTATTTACAATTTCTTTACCACCCTTTCCAAAAAATCAGATGATTTATCTGCAAAAGCAGATGCTTAAGTTATATGAAGATTAGTGAAATAAAGAATTCAGAAAAGTTATAAATACGGTAAGGTAACTGAGTCAGGAATTTTTACTATTAGCAAAGCAAAATGCACATTTAAATACTGCATGAAAAATACAGTGGCCAAGCTTTTTCAGGTAAATGTGTACTTTTTGAGTATTCACCTGAAGGAGAATCTATGTTGGCATTTCAGTTGGCTGAGGACCATCATCTGAATGACAGGAACACACTAAAGCAATAACTACTTTTAACTTAATGTCTTAAGGACTGTCATGTGTAATTTGATTATTGAATTATACTTCAATTTCCTACAGAAACACTTACTTATTTCAATCAATCATATTTTACAAAATCAACCCATTTCTTTCTTGTGTCCTAGGGTGAGCCTGAATCTTTACTCTGTGACACTTATAGAGCTGTCCACATAGTGTTGGGTTTGCTGATATGCTTGCCTCTGGCCACATGCAGAGCTGGGTGAGGACAGTGACAATATCACATGTGTCTTCACAGTCCTCGAGCCCAACACAGTGTTTATTAAATAATGGGAACCCCACAGATGCTTTCTGAATATGTTCACTACTTTAATGATGGATCCAAAGAGAAATCCCCAAGGGACAGAAACCATGCTTTGTACTA